TCAGGTCCCATCTCAGATGTCCTATGTTTTCCCAGCCCACCCTGGGTTGAACCGTCTCTGACCCTGTCTGGGAGGGCTGGCAAAACTAACTGAACCCTTCTGCTGTCCTCCACCGCCCCCAGCGCTACCTGGATGTGCTGCCCACCATGAGATGGACGGGAGGGAAGACGATGGGATCTCTCAGGTGAGAGGTCTGAGAGCTGAGGATTTCCAGAAACCTGCAAGCACGCCTGCAAGTCCTCCGTGCTTTGAGGTTTTCTTTTAAAAGTCATCCCCTGGGGTGTCTCGGTGCTCTTTAGCAGGAGTGCCGGGGTCTGGGCTCAGCGCTGGCTGCCGTGCTGGTTTCTGAATCAGGACAGCCACTTCCAGCACCTCGCTTTTCCCTGGGGTCCTCCTCCTCCCACCCCAAACCCTGCAGCGATATGACCCTGTTTAGATTGCAGGAAGAATAATTTCACAACCCGATGCTTCCTTGGCTGTTAATGTGTCTAGTGAAACTTTTGATCCCAAGGGAAATGAAGGAGTCTGGGCAAAATTGACGGCTCTGTTCTAAATTTGCCAGGGGAAGAAAAAAATCAACCCAGTGCACTCGTACAGTCGATACAGCAGTTTCTCAGCATTCCCTTTTTAACCTTAACAGATTGCACGGTATTCATTCACCAAAAAAACCAAGAAGGGAAAGCCCTTTCTTGCAGCACCTTAGTCTGTAAGTGCACATTTAGTGCCTCAGCTCTTGTTTCCCTCTGTTTACCCCCAGCTTCTCTTTCCAGAAGTGTTTTGTCGTTCACCTTCTGGCTCTGACCTCATTGTTTCCAGCTCTGGGGTGGCATCTCCGAGCAGGTACAACCTTCTTCATCGCTTTTGTAGGCAGCGCAGTGAGCCAGCTCACGCTGCAGAAGTTTAAATGAATGTTTTGAGTTTGTTTTAAAAGTAGGGGCAGTGAGGGGAAGAGGGGTGGTTGCTAAGCTGGTGGTGCAGGTGCAGCTGGAAGCACGTGGCACAGGTTTCCAAGGGTGCTGTGGCCAAACATGGGATGGAGCTGAGCTGCAGAGAAGCTGTTTTCAATGAAATTACGTCTCCAATGTGATGGCCCAGCAGCCTCTGAAAATGTTTGTCCGTCTTCGAGCAAACAGCGGGGATGTCTCACTCAAGTGCCCAGTCCAGTGTTTGCGTGTAGGGCTCGTGCGTCCCCTCACCGATCGATACCTCCTGCACGGCACAGCCGCCTCCAGGAGTATGAGATTTTAGTTGTTGTTTCGTTAAACTCGCTTCCTCAGGCTTCAGAGCCTCTCCTTGTGCTAAGAACTGCTGCTTTCTATGTCACCTCTTTTAGTTGGAGTCTTTTTTTGAAGGTGCAAGTGGAACTTATTTTTTTCATTCAGGATTTTTTTTTTTCCCCTCTTCCACCATTGTTTAAAAAAAAAAATCCTGAATAAGCTGCTCCTTGAAACATCAGCATGAACACTGGCCTTTGAGCAAAACGCAGGAAAATATTGAGCCAGAAAGCAATTTAAAACAAAATAAAGCAATCCTCCCTCCTTCCCAGAAGGTAGCAGCAAGTGGAAGGAGGATCCGCTGGTGAAAACTGTTCTGCAGCGTTCATTATGGCAGGGACGCTTCCCACAGCTGCTGTAACATCTCGTTCAGCCTCTGCTTTCCAGACCGCAGCCTTTATCAAGTTCCTCTCCAACTTAATCATCTTTGTCTCAAAAATACCACTTTTAACTGAAACAACATGGAGAGGCGCCCCAGAACTGGAGGTGAGGGAACTGTGAACACAGAGGTTTCCTGTAGCTCCGTGCTGTTTCTGCAAGACACTGGAGTCATTTTATGGCAGAAATGTGCTTGAAATGAGCATGAAGGGAGATAAAGCCCCAGGAGGAGAAATCACTGAGCCCTGGGAAATATCCAGCTTTTGGCTGGGAAGTCCTGGGGC